ATATATATATATATATATATATATATATATATATATATACTTAAATATGCACACTACCTTTCAAAAATTTGGGGTCTTTTTTTTTTTTTTAAGAAATTCATACTTTCTACTCATTTTCTTTTCATACAAGGAATCATTAAATTGATCAAAAGTGACAGTAAAGACTTTTGTCGTGTTCCAAAAATATATGTATATTAGATAAATGCTGTACCTTTGAACATTTTATGCATCAGAGAATCATGAAAAAAATCAAATGCATGATGGTTTTCGCAAAAATACTAAGCACAGTTGTTTTCAACATTGATGATAATCAGAAATATTTCTTGAGCAGCGAATCTATATTAGAATGATTTCTGAAGGATCATGTGACACTGAAGACTGGAGTAATGATGCTGAAAATTCAGCTTTGCATCACAGGAATAAATGACATTTAAAATATATAAAAATAGAAAACAGTTATTTTAAATTGTAATAATATTTAGCAATTTTACTGTTTTTAATGCATTTTTGATCAAATAAATGCATCCTTGGTGAGCATTCTTTCAAAAACATTAAGTAATCTTACCAACCCCAAACTTTTTGAAGGATAGTGTTACTAATTGTATGTTATTGTCTGTAATCGGCTGTATCAGAAGTAATTTAAATCTAAAAAGTGATTCAGTCCAAGTAACTGCAGTTTTCTAGTTCTGGGTCCTAGCTGATCTTGTGAGGCAATTCTTGTGAGAATGGTGTTGGATACTTACCTGTAGATGTTGCATTCTGGAGAAACGGAGGTGAGGAGTGCAGCGAGAGGCTGGAGACTTGCCGTGCCTGTAGAGGGTAAAGCTTCCAGTCCAAGTGTGTCCATCCCCTCCTTTTGGGTCTATATTTATGTACCACCATCTCAGTGGAGACCTCCAAAAATCTGTAGCGTAAGCCTGAGAGGACATCATCATCAGGCTCATTCACAATGAACTCCATCATCAGAGTTCAGCCTTGGGAACAGCATCTCATTACCTGACGGGGACCGTTGGCGTAATTCAGATTTAACTCTGGTAGAGCACAAAACAGAAAAGAATGAATGAAAAGAATAATGCATAATCAGCTCTTTGCTCTCTCATTTTACTTTATGATGGATCGTTCAATGCCAGCACCAATTAGACTGCTTTTAGTCTGCTGATTTGTCAGTGTCTACCATCAATGTTTCTGACGGAGTGCTTATGCAGTAGTCAAGCTTACATGATCACGTTAGTTGCTTTTGCAGACATTGATGTGGTTCTAGGCAGATTTGAAGAATGATAAACGGTGTCTGTTTGAAGCTAAGGATAAAGTCTGAATGCAATGCAATCAATGGGATAAACAAAGTGTAAGCTTATGTTTGCATGATTTTTAGGTTAAAATATTTACTTTTGTTCCAGTTAATGGCATAGTTCCCCCAAACTTGTATGTGTTTCTTTCTTCTGTTGAACACAAAAGAAGATATTTTAAAGAATGATGGAAACTAAAGAGTTTCGGGTCTCAGTGACTTCCATAGCATTTTTTGTCCATACTATGGAAATCAGTGGGACCTGAAACTGAAGAAAGAAAGTTTTTAATGACATGAAATTATAAGAAATGTATGAGGACTTTAAACATTTCTCTTTTTTTTTGCCTTTCACTTACAGGTAGCTGTTCGACGCGAAAAGGCCTGAATGGAGCGTGTTCAGTCCATGAGTACACAGGAAGCTTCGTGGGCCAAAATGTGAGGTTCAAGATGACGTCAGTGTGTGGACATGTCATGAGTCTGGACTTTATCGGCAAGTATTTTGTCTTCAGTAGGACTGCTTTGAAAGTGCAGGCAATATCTGTAAATGTATGCGCAAGACAATGCAAACTTGACTTGTTGTATTATTCCCTATCCTTAATGTTTTGCAGGAAAGTATAACAACTGGGATAAAGTTGATCCAGCTGAGTTGTTCAGTAACGCTCCGACTGAGAAGAAAGAAGCAAACCCCAAACTAAATATGGTCAAATTCCTTCAGGTGACTTTACCTTTCATTACATGACTGATTATGGTGTAGCTATTGTCTAAAATAATTAAACATTTAGATTAACTATATTTAAAGACAACATGTAAGCCTGTCAAAGAATTTATTTAGATATGAAATAATCATTTCTATTCTATAAATATTCTATAATGTAATTATATTATAGTTAGTTTAATAACAATATTTTAACAATTAAGTTTAACAGTAGTCTTAACATATTTAAAAACCCTTCCATAAATCTTTAAATAACAAAGTAGCTGTTTATTGACAGGTTGAAGCAAAAGGTTGTGACTATGTCGTCCTGTGGTTGGACTGTGACAAAGAAGGAGAGAACATTTGTTTTGAGGTGAGTCTGAATCTGTTGAAAGAAAATGCAACCTAAGATTGTCCATATAACTGGGGCTGAAGTGTTCGGCCCGGTTTTGTTTTTTGAGTGTGCATTTTCTTTATGTGTTTGTGTTGTACTGTCTCAGGTGTTGGATGCCATCCAGCCTGTGATGAATAAGTCTTACGGTAATGAGCGTACAATCTATCGGTCCAAGTTTAGCTCCATCACAGACACAGATATCTGTAACGCCATGACCCGACTCGGAGAACCCAACAAGAACGAGGCTTTGTCTGTAGATGCCCGTCAGGAACTGGACCTCAGGATCGGCTGTGCTTTCACACGGTATGAAAGCGGTCATCTGGGTAGAGCAGACCTGTTTGGATTTCTTGATTTTTTTTTTATTCATACCATTACAATACAATCTTGTTTTGTGCAATATACACAACTGTTGAAAGGTTTGGGGTTTCAAATGTTTTTGAAAAAGTTTCTTATGCTCATCAAGTCTGCATTTATTTAATTAAAAATATAATAAAAGCAGTAATATTATAAAATATTATTACAACTTAAAATAATTGTTTTTTATTATTTTGATATATTTTAAAATTGTAATTTTTTCAAGTGATAGCAAATCTGAATTTTCAGATTTTCAGTGAAGACAGTGTCACATGAACTTTCAGAAATCATTTTAATATGGTAATTAGGTGGTCAAGATAAATTTATTATTAACATCATTGTTGAAAACAGTTGTGCTGCTTAATATTTTTGTGGATGAGTCAAAGACGAAAAAGGGTTTAAGCATAAAAACAATAAGTGTAATACTGCTTTAAATTGTTGTTGTCTCCCCCCCCCCCTCCAATTTTGTTTTTCTGAGCAAAAAAATAAATATCATACATTTTTCCCTGATTTACAGAAGAGACCCACTAAAATGTTGCTCAGTGTAACAATCTTGTCAGGCATATTTACAACAAAAATCAATTTATGACATATTAAAAGACTAATTACTTTCACCCCAAATACTAATTAGTTGTAATTTTACATTTTTAAAATTTGCCACTATCCTAGGTTTTGCCCATTTGTCGGTAAGAATTCTTTACTCATTTAAAATGCAATCAAATTTAATATGCTCCCTTATTCTTTTACATATTTTAATATGTACACGTCAGAATAAGCATGTTGTTAGAATTTTTACATAAATATTGTGTTACATTGAATGACAATGTAACATTATTTCAACCAAATTTTGACATTTTATTCTCCAAAAACTCATTTGAAACCTTAAAAGTAGACACTTTACTTACATTTAATGTGCTTTCTATGGACATAAAATCACTTTTGTAAATTTCGTTCGATGCGGACATCTTAACGTCTTTGAGCCGGATACATTTTTTCAGGATTCTTTGTTGAATTATAACATACATATATACATTATGAATGTATTTACTGTCACTTTTGATCAATTTAATGTCTTTGCTGAATAAAATTAATTTCTTTAAAAAAAAATGTTCTTACTGATCTCAGTAGTGCGTTTGTCAAACTGTTCTAATAAAAGATGATAGTAGGGTGCTCACTCCATTATCTCTAAATTTTAGTTTCCAGACCAAATACTTCCAAGGGAAATATGGGAATTTGGACTCCTCCTTGATCTCGTTCGGTCCCTGTCAGACTCCCACACTGGGATTCTGTGTGGAACGGCATGACAAGATCCAGTCCTTCAAACCTGAAGCCTACTGGGTCGTACAGGCAAAGGTCAGTTCTGGCCTTTACTGCTCAAATGACAAAATCCAATTTTACAAATTCTTTTACGGAATAGCTGTTTATTATATTGCATTACATTCTTGATTTTCTGCATATTTCATTTTTGTGCACACAGGTTTTTAAAGGCAAGGACAGCCCACTCACCTTGGACTGGGACCGAGTGCGAGTTTTTGACCGAGATGTTGGTCAAATGTTTGTTAACATGGCAAAGACCGCTAAGGAGGCTAAAGTATGTATTTGTATCTCAATTATTTATTTTATATGTAATTTCATATTTCAGAGGTGCAGGATGTGCTGAAGCTCGTCAGGTGTAACTGCATGATTTATTATGTGTCTTTTCTTGCAGGTCGACTCGGTGACTAAGAAAGAGAAGGCCAAGCAGAGACCTATCGCATTGAATACAGTGGAGATGTTAAGAGTGGCCAGCTCTGCTTTGGGTGGGTGTGATATTATATGGTCCAGAACTTATTTTACACTAATAACTTAACTAGTTAACTAATAATTTAGACTGAAAATATGTAACACACACTACTGTTCAAAAGTTTGGGCTTGGTAAGGTGTTTTTAATGTTTTTGAAAAAAAGTCTCTTATGTTCACCAAGGCTGCATTTATTTGAATAAAAATGCAGTAAAACAGTAATATTGTGAAATATTAATAAAATGCAAAATAACTATTTTCTATTTTAATCTATTTTAAAATGTCATTTATTTTTGTGACAGCAAAGCTAAATTTACAGCATCATTACTCCAGTCTTCAGTGTCACATGATCCTTCAGAAATCATTCTGAAATGCTGATTTGCTGCTCAAGAAACATTTCTTATTATTATCAATGTTGAAAACAGTTGTGATGCTTAATACATTTTTTCAGGTTTCTTTTATGAATAAAAATGCAAGCGTTGTATGAATAAATTACAGCATTTATCCAAAAAAATAAAATAAAATTTGACTGTAGTGCGAATGTGATTTTATCTTTATTTCTCAGGAATGAGTCCCCAGCACACTATGCAGATAGCAGAGCGTCTCTACACACAGGGTTACATCAGCTACCCTCGCACAGAGACCACACATTACCCTGAAAACTTTGACCTGAAGGGCACGCTCAAACAACAGGCCAACAGCTGCTTATGGGGTGAAATGGTGAGGAAGAGCTCTTTCCTTATTTGTATTATTTTATTTTATTTTTTTATAATTTCTATAGCCTTTAATCCTGATATGGCATTAAAAAAGGATGTCAAATTATTAATATTGTCTTATGAAAAATGCTTATGTGTGTGTTTGTGTATACAGGTAAAAGCTCTGCTTTCTGAGGGCATTAACAGGCCAAGGAAGGGAGTGGATTCAGGAGACCATCCGCCAATCACACCCATGAGAGCTGCCTCTGAGAGCGAGCTGGGTACGACTGTCAGACTGTGTATTTTCACATTTACATGTCTGATATTGAACTGTCTAGCACAGGAATATTATAGAATACACCCAGGTTATATTATGATTGTGATATCTGACGCTTCAGAACAAGACCTTTGATCCTGTTTCTAATTATTGAATAAAAGGAGGGAAATATAGACTAAAATATCTTTATTTATGTATATATTTATGTATTTATTTTTTAATATGAGCTTAATTAACTAGTAAAGCATGTAACATACACTACTGTTCAAAAGTTTGGGATCAGTAAGACTTGTAATGTTTTTTAAAGAAGTCTCTTATGCTCATCAAGGCTGCATTTATTTGATCAAAAATACAGAAAAAACAGTAATCTTGGTTTCTAATGGTTATATTTATTTAATTATAAATTATAAAAAATCTAATTTATAATCAGATCTAAGACAACAGGGCTATAAAATGCCAAATATCTTTTTGTCTCTGCAGGCAGCGATGGCTGGCGTCTGTATGATTACATCACACGGCACTTCATCGCGACGGTCAGTCCCGACTGTAAATATCTGCAGACCACGATTTCCTTCAGCATCGCCACAGAGAGCTTCACATGCAGCGGGAAGATGCTCATCTCTGCTGGTATGTGTAGTCTTCAGATTAATTTTTATTAATGGCTATTTACTTTTGCCATTTTAAAAATATTTTCTAGTGGAGAGCTGATGCTTATTAATATTTCTTGCAATCAGGTTACACTGAGGTGATGCCCTGGCAGGGTATTGCACAGGAAGAGGCCTTGCCGGTGTGTGAGAGAGGAGACACATTTACAGTGGACGAGATCAAACTACTGGAGAAACAGACCAATCCTCCAGACTACCTGACTGAGGCCGAGCTCATCACGCTCATGGAGAAACACGGCATCGGTACGATCGGTTTCTGAACAGATTCTTCAGAAAACAAGTTCACAGAAGAGAGTCAATTTAAGCAGGTCATTGCACATCATTTTATCCCTGATGTGCACTTACAATGTTAGTGTTTTAGTTTTTTTGCACTTTTTTGATGCAGTGTCTCTAAAACACTGTAAAATTAATTACAAGTCTCCAAAGCATGTAATATTCACAGCACAATGACTTATGAAAAGTGTTTCATACTTCATTATTCATTATTTGCTGTTATTTCAGGTTTTCACATCAAGGAATATTAAAAAAAAAAAATTGTTTTTGGGATTAATTTTTTATGTTGATACAAGTTTTAGAGAAATAAATATGCCATTTACAATTATTAAAACAAGTCTTTTATTTTTGATCACATTTATGTGATCAAAAATAAAGTACAAAAATTACATTGTGAAATGCAGTTTAAAAGAACTGTTTTCTATTTGTATATATTTTAAAATGTAATTTATTCCTGTGATCAAAGCTGAATTTTCAGCATCATTACTCCAGTCTTCAGTGTCACATGATCCTTTAGAATTCAAAATATGCTGATTTGCTACTCTAAGAAATATTTTTTATTATTATTATCAATGTTGAAAACAGTTCTGCTTAATATTTTTAACTGTAATTCCTTTTTTCAGGATTCAGGATGATGAGTAAAAAGTTCAAGAGAACAACATTTATTTGAAATAGAAATATTTCATAATAAGTCTTTACAGCCACTTTTGATCCATTTAATGCGCCCTTGCCGAGTAAAAGTATTCATTTCTTTTTTTTTTTAAGCCTAATGTTTGGTTATAGTTTGACATGTTTTTGCCATTTTGATAATGGTATTTTGGTTGATAATTTAGTCAGAATAAAGTGGAATATTTCGAAAAACATTTAATTGTAGACCTCTTTTTAAATTAATTTATTTTAGTTTTTATCATATTTATTTTTTTAGTTATTATGTGGACTGCATTAACAAATGATTCTGTCACTAGGTACGGATGCCAGCATCCCTGTCCACATTAACAACATCTGCCAGAGGAACTATGTGACGGTTGAAAGTGGCCGCAAACTCAAACCCACCAACCTGGGGATTGTTCTGGTTCACGGTTACTATAAGATTGGTAAGGAAAAACATTTCAACCAAGTATTTAGTTGGTGTGTGCATGACTAACTTGTTATGCTTATCTTTTTCCTTGCACATCTGTGTGTGTGTGTGTGTGTGTGTTAGATGCAGATTTGGTGCTGCCCACAATCCGCAGCGCTGTGGAAAAACAGCTGAATCTGATATCTTTAGGAAAGGCCAACTTCCACCAGGTCTTACAGCACACTCTGGACATCTTCAAGAGGAAGTTCCACTACTTCGTGGACTCTATTGCAGGTAATGTTCCACAATGAACCTATGCAAAGAACTAGTTTATTGCTGTATTTCTGTACCGTATTTAAAATAAAATGTAGAAAGTTCTCAGAGAAACTCCATGTTTATGTGAGGTTTATTCCCGGTGAACCTAGTCCTGAACTGCTTTTTTGATGCATTGAAATATATTTTAACCTTGTAAAGCCTATGAAGGACATTCCTCAATGAGGGAAAAAAACCCTCAGTTTTATTCAGAGTCCCAGACTTAGCAAAAAATATGCAATTTGGTGCAGTTGCTGATAATTATATTGCCATGAAATTCTGTTTGCTTGTGATGTAAATCATTGAGATCTTTATAACAGTATAACAGACTGCTTAATTAAAATGCATATAATTATCATTTGTCACTCTGTATCTCCCAATATAATATCTTAGTAGTTAGTAGATTAAATACTTCGTTTTATGATCAAAGGTCAGTAGTTTTTATTGTGAGGGGCAAAATATATAGCGCAAAGCAATACAATGATGATTGAGAAATGAACAAATAAACATTTCTCAAAAGCCTGATAATCATATTTGATACTCACATTTTAACATGATTTTTGGAAAAATGAAAGTGATGTATGGAAAATCAAGTAAACCTAAGTTGCTTCAGTCCAGTAAGTGTTCATCTTAAAATATTACTACAAATATAAAAATTATTCTTATGTTTACGTTAAAATCTGTGTAGATTATAGATACGTGTGCCTCGACCTAAAGGTGGACATTTTTATCATGATATTAAAAGTCCTTTTACTTGCTTAAAAAAGTATAAACTATCAATCAGATGTCAGAAAGCATGTAGTAGATTGTGTACAAAAGGTTTTTCAGCAAAGTTTTGATCATGTTGATAATTTAGAGGCCATTCTGAGAAATGAATTTATAAAATATGAAACAGTAGGCTTCATAGGCTTAGGAATGGATTGGCATAAATTGTTTATCAAACACAAGGTGTCTTTATGCAGTCGAGTTATGAATGGACAGTTCCTACAAAATTTAGTTTAAATACACAATGCTGCATAAAAGTTAGACTAAGTTATGCCTTTTCAGACCAAACTCAGCCAAAGTGTCAAAGTATATAGTTTTGATTGCTGTGTAAATTCATTTATCCCCTATCATTAAACACCTGAATGCCACTTCAGAAGTGCTTCTGTGCCACCTTTGCAGTGTAAAGTTGGCATTAGAGATGTTGTTTTAACATTACTGATCACTTATCAATGTGCATCACTTTGTTTTTGCTAATTATTGACTCTTAAAACATGCTTGGAATGTTTTTAACAGGCATGGATGAGCTGATGGAAGTGTCCTTCTCTCCCATCGCCGATACTGGGAAACCTCTCTCTCGCTGTGGCAAATGCCATCGCTTCATGAAGTACATCCAGGTCTGTAAGGACTCATATTGACTTCCTGCTCATACTGCCGTCTTGCTTTCTTTTTCTGGCAATGTTACTAGTAACATTTCACAATATTACTCTTTTTTTTTTTACTGTATTGTTGATCAAATAAATGCATCCTTGATGAACATGTTTAAGACTCGGTATAATGGTCGCTAGTATTAATTGAGTATAATGGTTATTAGTAACCAATGGGAGGTGGTAAAATGGAAAAAAAATTTACATTTTGTCATCATTTACTCCCCCTCAAGTTCAAACCTGTATGAATTTCTGTTAAACACACAAGAAGATATTTTGAAGAATGTTGTTAACCAAACAGTTGCTGGTAGCCATTGACTTCCATAGTATGGAAAAAAACACAGTGGAAGTCAGTGGCTACCAGCAATTGTTTGGTTAACAACATTCTTCAAAATATCTTCAAAATTTGAATTTCTTAAAAAATAATTCCTTTTCTGTTCAACAAAAGAGAGAAATTCATGCAGCTTGAGGGTGGGTAAATGTTCATTTTTGGATGAACTATCTCTTTTAGAGGTCAAAGTTGTCAGCTTGTAGTAAGAAGGTCAGAGCCCTCTATGATGTCTCATAATCTTAAAGGGTTAGTTCACCCAAATTGCTCACCCTTGTGTTGTTCGAAACCCATAAGACCTTCGTTCATCTTCGGAACACAATTTAAGATATTTTTGATGAAATCTGAGGGCTCTCTGACCCTCCCATAGACAGCAAGGTAACTACCACGTTCAAGGTCCAGAAAAGTACCAAGATGATCGACAAAGTAGTCCGTGTGACATCAGTGGTTCAATTGTAAAGTTACGAAGCTACAAGAATACTTTTTTGCTCAAAGAAAACAAAAATAACGACTTTGCTTCGAACAACACGAGGGTGAGTAATTAATGACAGAATTTTCATTTTTGGGTGAACTAACACTTTAACAGAGGTCAATCAGGAGTTAATGGTAGGGTCAGGGTCATGGATCAAAGCCCCAGACATGGTGTTGCAATCATTTGACTTGAGTGCTGTGCAGAACTGAGCTTTGGGTCATTTTGAGACAAGCGTGTTTGGCTAAATATCTAACATTCCTCCATCTAATCGTACTGTCATCAGTTCAAACTAAGAGTTGATAAAGAAAGCAGCTAAAAACGATGTCTGTACATGCTATGATCTGTATACTGTGAAAACAAACAAAAAGAGATAACATTTTAAAGGAGTCATGCAAAGAGAAATGGAATTTTCCTTGATCTTTTCAAATAATAGTTCAGTGTACTGTGAAAACAAATGTTTCTTTTGGGGTCGGTAAGTTTTTAGTAAGAAGTCTCTTCCAAGATTGCATTTATTTGATTAAAAAATGCAATAAAACTATTGTAATATTGTAAACTATTATTACGTTTTAAAATAACTTTTCTATTTTAGTATTTTTTAAATGTAATTTATTCCTGTGATCAAAGCTGAATTTTCAGCATCATTACTCCAGTCTTTAGTGTCACATGATCCTTCAGAAATCATTCTAATATACAGATTCGCTGCTCAAGGAGCATTTCTTACTATCATCAATCTTGAAAACAGTTGTGCTGCTTAATATTTTTGTGGAAACTGTGATGCATTTTATTTAAGTATCCTTTGATGAATAGAAAGTTTAAACGAACAGCATTTATATGAAACCGTAACAGTATACATGTCTTTACTGTCACTTTTGATCAATTTAATCTATCATTTTCTGAATAAAAGTATTCATTTCTTTAAAAGAAATCTTACTGACCCCAAACTTTTGAACAGTATATCCATACACATATCCATACCCACAATACTTTGCACATCAGAAATACAGTTTTTAAACAGCTGACGTCAGGTTGAGAGGAAATGTTGATTACGCGCAGTGAGTAATGCAGCTAAAGTTTTTGATGGCTCATTTAATATGTCCCAGAGCATACACACACTAACTTTGATCCTAATTACCATCTGAATGGCCATGCTGCTGTAAATCACGTGGTTTATTTCTTTTCCACTCTGATGCACTTTGGGCTTTTAGGCAGACTCATCTCTCTCTTGTCCTTTCTGCCAATACATGCGCACCTGAAAATGACCTTCAACACGAAAGCATTTGACCTAAATGTTGTCCTGTGTCCATCTGAATGTGGAATAACTCACAAATTATTCATCAATGTCCCTCATCATTCAAATTAGAGCTTAAGCTATGTCCCTGTTAAATGGGCTTCAATGTCCACCGCTTGCATAAGTGAGATTAATGCTGATTTTCTCAAGCCAAATGTACTGAGTGAAATCCAGCCACAGTATAGAGGTCTTTACTGTTACGTCCTCATTTTGGATGGTAAAATATGTGGAAAATGAAGTTATAAACTGAAATCTATTAGCAATTCAGTAAATGCTGGTGGTTGACTTGTTTTCTCCACCATCAATATTTTTTCAATTATGAATTTTAACATGGAGAAGCATTATTTACTAAAAAGTGCTCAAATGCAACATCTAAAAAAAAGTATTATTAACATATTTTCATAAGTATTAAATATTATGTTCCAATAAATGCACATAAAATGTATTCTACAACTGCAAAAAGTTGAGTCAGACGATACCCAGATTGCTTTTTACAGCTTTATCATGATGTAGTGTCAAATATAAAGTAACGTTACTTTACGCATTGGTCTTTTGGTTTTTTTTAATCACCCCCAGGCCAAACCCAGTCGCCTGCACTGCTCTCACTGTGACGAGACCTACAGTTTGCCTCAGAATGGAGCCATTAAGCTGTACAAGGAGCTCAAGTGTCCTCTGGATGAATTTGAGCTGGTGCTGTGGACCTCGGGATCTCGTGGCAAAAGCTACCCTGTGTGTCCATACTGCTTCAGCAACCCTCCCTTCAGAGACATGAAGAAAGGTAGGAGAGACTAGAAAGCTCTGATTCTCATTTAATAATATAAAATATGTCCATTCTTAAATGTTATGTGTTAAATTTATTATAGAGGCAATGTAAAAAGGACAGCCCAAGATAGAGAAATTTTTGCAAATGTTTTCAACACTTGTTGGAACAGAAAAATCAAGCAAAGAAATGTAAATGTTGAAGAATAGCCCTAATTATGTAATTTCTCTTTCTGTTTCGGTCAGGGATGGGCTGTAATGAGTGCACCCATCCTTCCTGTCAGCACTCCCTCAACTCTCTTGGCATTAGTCAGTGCGTTGAATGTGAGACGGGCGTCCTGGTCTTTGATCCCACCTCGGGTCCAAAGTGGCGGATGGCTTGCAACAAATGCAACGTTGTGGTGCATTTCTTCGAGCAGGCCCATAAAGTGCAGGTGTCCCAGGACAGCTGTGATTCCTGCGAAGCCTCACTGGTCATAGTGGACTTCAACAAGACACGCTCTCCGTTGCCTGACGGTGAAACGCAGCACACTGGCTGTGTGTTTTGCGATCCTGTGTTCCAGGATCTGGTGGAGCTGAAACATGCGACCATGCGGCATCCCATGCACCGGGCCGGAGGAGCCCGCAGAGGGAGAGGGAAGGGAAGAGGGAGGAGGCCCATGGGGAATCCTAAAAAGCCTAAAGATAAAATGGCAGCCTTGGCAGCATATTTTGTGTAGAATGTTTTGTAAAGTTTATTTGTTTTGCAGTAGAAAATCAAAGCCAGCTTAATAAGTCTTAAAGTGCAAACTAAAAAGATGAAAATGGCAATAAAGTTTTAGATTAACAGAGTCAGTGCTGTATTTTTATTCAAAGCATCATTTGTAAAAAAAATATTAAAAAAAAGAGAGAGAGAGATTTAGACACCTAAATCTAAATAGATTTTTTAAAATGTTTTTGAAAGAAGTCTCTTATGCTCACCAAGACTGCATTTATTTGATTAAAAATACAGTAAAAACAGTAATATTGTGAAAATACTAATTTAAAAGAACTTTTTTCTATTCGAATAATCATGTGACATTGAAGGCTGGAGTAATGACTGCTGAAAATTCAGCTGCTTTTTAAAATATATTCAAATAGAAAAGTCACACATCTATATGAAACAATATACAACATTACGTTTATAAATACACGATAAATGTGAACTACACCAAAAAAAAAAAAAATTAAACATGATCTGAAATACACAGAAATGCCTAAACTAGCAAAAAGATAAGTGAAGTTAGTAACAAAAATAAATAAAAATAAAACAGATTATGGTACCACAACAATAGCATGTTTCAGACCACTCGTGTACTCTACACTGTAAAGAAAAAAAATAGGGCACAATGTGCTGTATTAATATAAAGTAATTTTCCATATTTATTTTATTATTTATTTAACAGCGGTGTTTTACTTGTATTTTCAAATTTGCACTCAATTGCACTTCATTTCATTCAGACTGAGTATATAATAAACAACATTTTACAATGTTTAACTAATGAGATCACATTATGCAAACAATATTAAGACAATAAAAAAAAAAACAGTTTTAATGAAAAGAAAAGAAAAGGCGCCACTTGTCTATCAATATCATGTTTAAGAATAAAAGGTTTGGATAACGTTTTTGGTTTTACATTTAAACAAAACACTGCAGTATTAAGTCATCAGTCATGCATAAAATAAAAAAAGGTTTTCTATGTCCATCTAAAACGTCTTTGCATATACAATGGGGGGAAAAAAAGGAAACGTTTCCTTGCCTCGTTTATTTCCATATTGAGAAACAGAACCTTGGCTTATGAATATTAATTACCTCACGTGAATTACTGGACGCTCGTTGGTTAGCTAGTTAAAAGAAATGTATTAATATTCATAAGATCGGTCTGTCACCGCCCAGACAGCCACATCGATCTAACAACCGTTAGATCAAGTCTCTCCGCGCCTCACACGTTCATCCTTAACGCTTGTATATCGCTGTGTTTGTACTTCCTGTCTGTCACAGCGACTTCCGCAGGTGGATTGTAGTGATGTCCGGTTCGCGAACGAATCGTTCGATTTAACCGGTTCTTCGAAGGTCGCATTCGGAGTGTCCTACTTGCTTTTCTGAAATGAGACAGTCTCGATGACGTATGCAGCCTTCGAATGCACCTCCGGAGGGCGCAGCCTTCTAAATGAGACACAGCCGGTTTATTGACTCGAACTGTCCGAAAGAACCGGTTCGCGGAAAAGAACCGAACTTCCCATCACTAGTGGATTGGCTTTTGTTGTGTAGTGACTGAAAGGGCGTGCGATCATGCACGAGAACTTCAAACCGCACTCATCAGGAAAAAAAAGGGAGTGTCGGCGCATAAAGCAACGCCAACCAGCTGCAAAGGTATACACTGCACGTTTACGCACGACTATGTTCTCTTTTATGTTGTTGATTAAACTAACGAGTTGCTACTTGTAGTTCAAGGCCCGGTTGTGCTGCTTTCAAATGGCGACAGTGCGTGCACTTTCTCGTAAGATAGTGTACTATGTATACTAGATACATTCTGTAATTTAGAAGAATATTTACTGTTTGTAGTTTGTAATCTAAAAGGCGGAAAAGTATATGACTTGTCACATTTTTACGGATAAAATGTGGTATCACAATGCATATGTTTTCTTTCGTTACATTTAAATAATCATCAAGCGTAAACTTAAAAAAAAAAAACTCTACCTGGCGTTTGTAGTTCGGACAACCAGGTAGCCCCGCCCCAAACGCACGTCATTGGTTGATGTTGACAGAGGGCCGCCTCCGAATGTTCTGATTGGCCAACACTCACATTCTATTTTGCATGGATTATTGTATGAACCTAAACACCAGTCTTAGAAAAGTTTATATATCAAACATTATATCTAAATATTCTATTCTGTTCTGTACTATTACCATAGCAACATATTTGCTTTAAACTGATAGAGGCAAATTACATTTACAACACTGACAGGTTCTGGTGAAGGTGGTTGTGTGTATTGCTTTATTTATTTATAATTTTTAAAATTTTATTTGTAGATTCATACGTGAAGTTTGCATCCAAGATTGCTTTGGACATCCCCAACTTCCTACCTTGGTAGAGGCTCCAAGTCCACCCTCAGAATGAGTTGCGCGGAGCAAGGCGATGCTGGGAAGTTTCTCAAGCGGTTTCTGGAGGATTTTCCAAACCCGCTTGGGACGGAGGACCCGCTTCCCATCAGTCCACTTAGCCGCAAAGTCTCTATGCAGGAGGTGAAGGGAGAGAGTCTGGATCTTGGCCTCCGACTGCTCTCAGCCAGGTTTGTTATGTGCATATCATGTAGGTCAGGGGTTTTCAATCTTTCAGGTGTCACGGACCCCCATATATGATCATCCTCAAGTAAGGGACCCCATTCTGTAATTGAAAAGACAGCTATGTATTTTAATATAAAAAGATGCAATTTATATTGTGAAAATTAATATTATAAATGTGTATAAAATAATATTTATCTTATATCTTAATTCTACTGTACTGTTATGTATTATTTACTAAAATATTATGTTTATGAATATTATTATATTATAATTATTTATTAATATATTTTTTTATTTTAATGTTTGTTAAAAATATATTTTACTAATTTGTAAAAATATTTTACTCAATATATTTATGTATTTAGTTTGATCTTATTTTTTATTATTTATTATTTTTACTTAAACTTAAACTGTTTTTCTATAATCTTTTCGACAGAACCTCTAAAACTCCCTTCAAGGTCTCTGGGAGTTCTTTTCTTTTCTTTTTTTCTTACATTATTTTATTTTAATCATTATTTAATTATTTTATTTATTTATTTACTTAGATTTACATTGTTTACTCTGCTTTTCTCCAAACGTTTCCACGGATACCCCACCACTCCCTTGTGGGATCCCTGGAGGTTCCCACATTTTTATTTATTTCTTTATTTATTTGAATCATATTTATTTACTTTTTTCAATTATTATTTTAATCAGTTAATTTGTTTAGTTAGTTAGGTCTTATGTTTTATTATTTATTTAATTTTGAGTTTTTTCCACTATTTTTCTCTAAACTTTTCCATGAACTCCCTTTGGGGGTCCCGTTTGCCAGTTTGAAAACTCCAATCAAGGTTTTCATGGAAGAGAGGGTGATTTGTGTTTATGTTTCCTGTTGGATGACATACTCTTCTCTCTCAGCTATAGATACAGCTTTATATTTGTGTTTACATGTCCATTTACTTTGTACATTTTCTAAAAACATGTACAGGATTTAAAAAAAAATGTTGCGACACACCTGTCCTCTTTAACCAGAGGAGGAGCGTTCTCTCATTCCTGTCTCTCTCTCTCCCATTTGTTTTCTCTCGCTCCCTGTCTGGCATGATCTGTTTTCCTGACAGTATTTGCACCAGGTCAGCACGTTTCACTATGCATGAGCTGATTAAGAGATTTGGTGTGTTTTTTCCCAATGTACTATCAGTGGCAATCCAAGCGTTAAGTGAAAACAATGGTGCAGAAATTTTCAAGTTTAAATCTACAATGGCGTTTTTGTTTTATCTCTTTCTGTATCCTTTTCTCTCTCTCCCCTGACGCATTTCTCAGGGCAGACTTCCTGTTTGTGAAATCACTATTGTTATACCCACTTCCTGACATTTAGACTTAATTTCCTCTTTGTTGGAAGCTGTGCCGAATTCAACTGTCTGCACAGTGCAGATTTGTCAGGTTTAACCCTTTTCGTGTCTTGATATAGGTCAGATGTGCATGACGTTGCCGCAGCTCTTGTCAAGTAGGACAAGGGAGTGTTTTCCGACATCTTGCTGTTATGTCGTTAGATAACATCTCACGCAGCCGAAATGCTTCTTTTAAATAGACGTGTTGTGTGAGTGGGTGGTCGGGCCATTTGCCACTTGTTGCTCCAGCAGGCAAAGTGCTAAATCTAATCCAAAACCAGAGCAAATTCACTAGTGGAAGATGTGCTTTTACTCCACAGTTTCTGAAAATGCATGAGTAGCATTTGGAGAAAAGTCGTTTGTTTCTAGTCAATGCATTTTGTACACACTCTGTGTAGACTACCGTTCAAAAGTTTGGTCAGTAAGACTTTTTTTTTTAAAGAAATTAATACTTTTATTTATCAAGGATGCATTAAATTGATCAAAAGTGATAGTAAAACATTTATAATGTTACAAAAGATTTCTATTTCAAATAAGAAATGTTCTTGAGCAGCAAATCGGTATATTAGAATGATTTACATTTACATTTAGTCATTTAGCAGACGCTTTTATCCAAAGCGACTTACAAATGAGGACAATAAAAGCAGTCAAAAACTAACAAAAGGAAAAAAAACGGGAAAAAAAACGGAACACGGAAAAAAACGGAAATAAAAAAAAAGATAAATATAGATAAAGTAGAATTAGAATAGAAAGTGTTAGAGTTAGAGGGTCAAATAAAGGTGGAACAGATGTGTTTTTAGTCGTTTCTTGAAGATGGTTAAGGACTCAGCTGCTCGGATTTCTGAAGGGTCATGTGACACTGAAGACTGGAGTAATGATGCTGAAAATTCACATCACTGGAATAAATGAAATTTAAAATGTGTTCAAATAGAAAGCAGTTATTTTAAATTGTAATAATATTGTAACCATATTATTACTGTTTGCACTGTATTTTTGATCAAATAAATGCAGCCTTGGTGAGCATGAGAGACTTTTTTTCAAAAATGTTACAAACAAGCTTTTGTACAGTCATGTGAGTTCATTTGAGTATGCATGTTTTATTGTCACACTGTTGACATGTTTTAAAGAAGTGCCCCATCCTGGCTGGGTGCAGCGATGTGCAATGCTGCTGTCACTGAACTGCTTAAAGATGACCTTTCACCTCACTACTGCCCCAAAGATCCTGAACAGCAACCAGAAGATGAACAGGAAGTTGTTTGTGAGTGATTCACTTGATTTGGTTCTTGTTCTTTTCTGTTTGTGAAATGTAGGGTTATTGTCGCGTTTAAATTGATGCCTTTTGATACAAGTTAATAAGTTGGAAAAATAATAGTCAAATTATACAGTATGTATACAGCATTGAACAACTGAAAAATATAACTAAACAATAAATATATAAAAATAATACAGAAATGTAAAAAAAAAAAAAAAAAATCATTTTATTTTTTTTTGATATTTCCATAATTTAAAAAAATTCCATAATGCTGGTGGCCCCAAACTGAATTGCAAATTCTGAAGAGGCCTTGCATTGTTTCTCCATCTTGTTTTTTTTTCCTTGTGGTCTTGACATAAATTTATCTTTAGAAAACAAGACAGAAAAATATTTTTTTTTAAATCCCCCCAAAATTGCTTTACTATATCAAATATGTAACTAATAGGCTGACAATACTAAAGTTAATGAATAAATATAAACAATTTGCAATGGCAATTTAATGATCTCAGCTGCATCACTGCCCTCTGGTGTTCAAACAAAAGTAGCACATGAAGTTATTACAGATTTTACATTATGTTTGACAACTTATCTCTCCTGGGAAAAAGTAGCAGTTCATGCTTGTTTTATTGACTGTTTACATGATTCTAATCTAAATGTGTGGTTTCTATGAAGCTCTGTTCAAACACTGTAGCATTATGATAAGTGTGTGTTTGTGTAACTCTGCAGTGTTGCAGTCTGAGCCATTGCAGCGCCTCTTTATTAATAAATTGAGAGAGGTGTGTTTGGTCTGGCAGAAACAGCTGCCCAGTCCCGGGTCGTCCTCTTCACGGACACACAGCTGCTCTGTTCACGCCATTCGAAACACTCGCAGAAAGATGGAGGACCGTCACATAATCCTGAAAGATTTTAACCAGCTTCTGGGACTGCAGGTGAGACTTCCCCACCTCAAACCTTGCATTGTTTTTGGGATGCATGCGTAGATATTTAACCAGACCCGTCCCTGAATATGCATATTTCCCTTTTATATAGAATGCAAAACGTTGCATGTTCAATTCAAGTCCATTTTTATTTGATTATGTCTTTAATGACTTTTCTGCATGGACTTTTTAGAATAATTGGTTCTGAGGAATGAATCTGATTTCTGTTTGTTTTTACAGGATGGTGTGGATCGAGAGTATTACGCTGTGTTTGATGGACACGGAGGGGTGGATGCTGCCACATACGCTGCCACTCACCTGCATATCGTACTCAGCCAGCAGGAGGCACTAAAAAGCGATGCTGCCACAGCCTTCAAAAGCTCCTTCACACAAACAGATGACATGTTCAAGATTAAAGCCAAGAGAGAGGTAAGAACAACCACCAAAAGTCTGAGACCACTAGTGAAAATGCTTGCATTTTTTACATTTTAATTTAACATTTTTTTTCATTAGAAACTATATTATCAGCATGTCAGTTTGAATCCTGATTTACATGTAAAAATGAAAGGTGTCCAACCCTCTACGCACACCTTGGCAATATAATCGCCATTGGCTAGTACATTTTTTAGTTTACTCGCCAGACTACTATTTTACATACACACACACACACATATATATATATATATATATAAAAACTGAATATATATATATATATATATATACATATATACACACACACACACACACACAATGTAGTATACTACTATATGATTCCACCAAATCAGCTTATCTTTGTAAAATGGCACAGCTTCTTAAATATCTGAATGTACACTATTAACATCAGTCAATCAAGCATTATATTATGATGATGTGATAATAAAGCACCATTTAATGATAGAACTAGTGATTAAGGTCATTGCACACTGAGTCTGAAAATTTCGTCCGAAATTTTCGCACGTTAAAAAATAAGTACGACCTCACGTTATGTCAATCATGTTTACACACTGCCTCCGAAATTTTCGTCCGTCATAAAAAAAAAATTCGGATCGGTTTCGATTTTTTGCGTTTTTCGCATCTGTGGCAAGCATTTTGAGAGGTGTTTTAAAAGTTCAGAGCCACCATACAAGCGAACGCCAAAATCCAGAATAGCGATTGTCAAGTTCATCCACTTCGTCTCGCAGCACAAAGCACTGTATATAGATCCTTGCACACTGAGTTCACAGAAATTGGTGGTCTTCTTTTTAAAGGGGTCATATGATGTTGCTAAAAAGAACATTATTTGGTGTATTTGGTGTAATGAAATGTGTTTATGTGGTTTAAGGTTCAAAAATTTCATTGGCAAATTCTTTAAATATAAAAAACTTACTTATAGTCTGTGAGTCAGAACAGCCGGCATTGTAGGCTACTTTCCCAGGTTCAGGAAACAGTCCTCCATAAAATGCGCTGGACACATCTGAATATTTGGGTTAAACTGTTCTGGAACAGTGTTGTAAATACAACTTAACCACTGATTTCTAGTCGTGTCCTCTTTTGGAAGGCCAAACAAAGTAGTTTAGCTTTCACAACGAAAAAGCGTCACATACCGTGACCTTGAGTGAGCGGAAGTCGGAGGCCTAGAGTGAGCCGCGGCCTAGAGTATGCAGAGGCTGGCTTGAGTGAGCAGAGGCGGGCGTGCTTTAAAACGGCGTGGATTCGACGAAGGAGCATCCGGCGGGCTTGCGGCAACCACATGTGACGACCCCGGGCTGGACTCCGCTTCGTCCACAGTGAAAGCTCGTTATGGAAATCTTCCCACATCGTGACGTAGACATGGGGGCGTGTTAGAACGAGTCGTTTTAGGTAGGCGTGGTTGACTCTTAACTTTTATAAAGAATATCTCTTTGGATTTCAGACTTTAGTCTTTGCAACTTTACAGATCTTCTTTATGCACCAAGAGCTTGTAACACTCCAAAGAGAAAGGAAAAATTGAAATCGCATCATATGACCCCTTTAATATGTGGCTCTAGTATCGCTAGCAAAGCATCAAACTGAGCCACTGACATCCTGAAGTAAACTTTGAATCGCCTGTGATAATCTCGCTGCTCCTTAATAAGGATATACTGTAATACTGTAATAACTCTCCGTCCTCTCTATATCTCAGGATTAGATGGACCCAATATTTCCTTTCTTTTCCTTTTTTTAAGAAGCGAGAGGACAACAGAATCATCCTCAATGCTTTAAGACTCCATTTAGTAGGCCTACTGTTTTGCGAATTTTTTCGCAACGGATTAATTAATACGCATTGGACTCAGTGTGCAAGGTTTCTGTGCGTGACGGATTTTTAGGATTTCTAATACGAAAAAACGCACACGAAAATTTCGGACTCGGTGTGCAGAGACCTTTAGAACTAAAACTTGGTAACCATGTATGAATACATATGTCATTTTAATTGAACTTAGGACTGGTGGTGGTGCCTAAGATATTGTTGGTCATAGATAATAGTAATTATTATTAAAAGCTAATACTACTACTACTAACTGCTGGGTTCATGAATATTAATCTGAAAGAAAAACAGGGACGGTAATAGATGAGCGCCAGCCAATGAGATTGCCGTTTGAGCATTAGTTCCACCCACTATCGGAGAAACCGGCAAATCTTCTGCTTGTTCTTAAAAGCGGAATAATTCTAAATGAACTCCGTTATTTTGACAGGAAATACAACAAAGAATATTGTTTACATGTAGCGCGTCGATTCGGCGTGATATGTAAGACTCTCACTCTCTCTCCTTGCATGTGTTTGAAACAAAGCGCTATCAGCAAAGCGACGGCGAGTCGTGCTCCTTCACACTAGAGTTTACGGTGTGTCAAATACAGGTACGCTGCGCATCCATTGAGATTAATTGAAATAGTACAGATCGCTTGATGGTGTTCAGCAAGTGAAAATATATCTGTGCTAAACTTATAATTAGCCTCCAACTCAAACACTGGCGAGTAAAATCTAAGAATTTATTAGCCAATGGCTAACGATAGTCATTATTTAGTCGCCCAGAGTAAGATTTAGTCGCATATGCGAGTGATTTACTCACAATGTAGAGGGTTGGTGTCATGAACTGCATTTTTTATTATTTTATACTGTTTTCTGAGGTCCACTTATAATGTTATCAAGATTTTTACATCAAAAAACATCGTAATTCAGATGTAATAGGCTATTTTATGTCCTGTTTTGACCCCTCTCATCAGAACGCTCTGTTTGAATAGGCGTGGCGGATTGTAGACTCAGAAGTAAACGCCCACTGATATGATTGGCTAACAGTTGAGCGTGTTTGACAGCCTCCATCCTTCACAGATTGGCGCTGCTGTGATTAGGGTTAAAAACACATAAATACTTCGTACATATCAAATTATATTTTTTTACCACATTATTATTATTATTTATTTATTAGTTTTTTTCTTTAGTCTTATTTAATTGTTCTTTCTGTTCTCATGTCATGTATGTATATATGTACCAAGAGCTCCTAAAAAACCACAACAAATTCCTTGTGTGTTTGCACACACTTGGCGAATAAAGCTAATTCTGATTCTGAAATTATCTGTAATAACAGACAAAGCAATAGTGATCACGTAATAAAAACAGTTACTCACACTTGTGTGGCGCGACATTACCATCTGATGCAATATAGTCACACAGCATCATCTTTTAGTTTCAGTCTTTCTGAAAATCCTGTCGAATTAGGCCTTGTTTGTAAACGAATCCGCGTTAAAATGAAGTGAACGAAGGACCAAGTTCTTACTGATGTGGTCTGGAACTTCATTAAAATAAAGTTTATCCACTCTTTCCTAATGTTAGGATTAGAAGGAAGGCAATTCAAAGATTGCCATCTTTATCGTTTGGTTTCTGCATAGATCTGCGTTTGACTCTCTCATTATTTACAGTACATGTGTGAATCGGTGGGTGGAGCTAAACAGGCAGTGATGTAGAAGCAGGCGTTGATCTTCCTCTGCGGAGGCGGTGCTTAGCCACACTATTACGTCATAAAGTGGCACATTCCACAACCTGTCATTTTGGCAGATTGCCTTCAATATAAGCTGTTTTTAGACTAACGAGAAAGTTTTGAGTTCTGAAACTTACAGGATGTTTTTATAGTACAATGACCTCTTATATGTCAAAAGATCAGGGGAATTTAGATTTCTCAGTTTTATGATCCCTTTAATAGCTTTTAGAAGGCGTTAACATGCTCAACGCACAGATTTGCTTCCTGAGCTTAAATATCTTAAGTATATCTTATATATTTCCTCTCATTTTACATTTTCATATTTTTAAGATTTTATATATTTTTAAATTTATTTTTAAAACTTATTTTTATTTCTTGTTTCAAATCATTTACAAAGAAATAGCAGATTTTCAGTGTGATTTCAGATTTGTATGTACAACAAATAAATGAAACAACAAAACCACTTTTAAACATGCACTATCAAAAAAATCGTCAAATACAGCAAGCTGACATTTATGATGGCTTTCTTCAAAGTGTACACTTGTTTTCCTTTAAACAGGTTTTTTTTTTCAGTGCATCTGCTTCTGAAACACTGTGCACAATCAGTTTCAAGAGTTATAATATCTTTCCCCTTATTTGTCAAGCTGGTGCATTTTGTGGAAATTCACGATGGAAAGAAATCTTTTCACACCTCTCCCACTTCTTGAGATGCAACTGTTATGTGTATTGAATGTTCCTATGCTGTAATAAATACAGATAAATATAGTCCGTGTTCCTCCTGTGGTTAAATACTTGATAACGAAACGGTGCAGGCTTGCTGCACATCTGTCGTCCTCCACAGGTACGGATATGAGTAATCACTTTCTGTTTCAATGGCACGATCAGTTTAAGTATACAAGAATTCATTTTACCTATACTTAAATTATACAGAATTCAATAAGTTGACTGAAGTGTCATTAAATGATAAAAATAAATATTTTAGTAGGGCAGTATAGTATTTTAAATATAAATGGGTAAATTATATTTTTTTTCATTGTGAAATTGACAAAATATTTAGTTAAAGGGGTCATATGATGCAATTTCAATTTTTCCTTTCTCTTTGTACAGTATGTGGAAAATAATGTGTTTTTTTAACCTTAAACCGCATAAACACATTTCATTACACCAAATACACAAAATAATGTTCTTTTTAGCAGCATCATATGACCCCTTTAAAATGTGAATTATTTATTATTTGACTATTTTGTAATCTAAAAATAGAAAAGTCTGCTATATTATTTTATTAAATTCTATTATATTTTATTAAATTCATGATTTTATTTAGAGCTATTAATTTTGAACATAATAGTGATTTATGTACTAAATTATTTGACTATGTATTTGACAGTATTATTTGATGAAATTAGTTTTACTTTTTTAATTTTAATGGAAATTATATATATTATTTAATTAATTTAGTACAGTTAATTTTGAACATACCACAATGAAAAGCTATTAAAAAATTTTATATAAATAAGTTTTATATATTATATACAAATATATTGTTAGAATGTGAATTTATTATTATTTCAATATTTGTTATAATTAAAAAATTATTTTAAATGATAAAATATTTTAAGTTCATTATTTAATTTAGTGTAGTTAATTTTGGGCATAATAGCACAAAAATATTTCATTTGTGATTTATTTGCTAAATTATTTGACAGATCATAATTAGATTTAAATTAATCAACTGACAGCCCTAGTTTTTGAAAATGAGTGTAGTATTTGCATTCACTGATTTTAGTTTATGTTGATTTGAAAGATTTATGCTGATTTAAACTTTATCACAGTACTGTTTTAATGTAAAATAGTATAACAATTACTGTATTACAGTAATGAGAATCATAATTATAAAAAAAAAAAAATTATGTGGCACACTCATAGTTACTACAGGATGGCAAACTAAACATTCTTTTGTCTTTAGCGTCTGCGCAGCGGCAGCACTGGTGTGGCGGCTTTACTGACCTCTGATCGCCTGACTGTCTCCTGGCTGGGCGACTCTCAAGCTATGCTGGTTCGACAGGGAGAACCAGTGACCCTAATGGAGCCACACAAACCTGAGAGAGAGGTATGACACACTACAAGCCATTGCTGACCAATAGAGACAGAACCACAAGAGCGTATCAGATGCTCGTCTGTTCTCTGTGAGCAGCTGAAATGTGAGACAGAGGAAGCGACTGCTGACCACCTGCTGAATCCATATTAGCAGTGTTTTCTGCATACATACTACAGCGACTGAATGCCAAAAGCATCAGAAATGGTCCTTAGAGAGACACTGACTGACTTAAGATCAGCGTTTCTGCACATGATTTGCAAAATAAATACTTAAGCCATAGAGTAATAATGATGCAATGGATGCAAACAATTTGAATGTCTGGAGAGGCTAAATAAAGATATTATTCTCTGAATTTAGCTAAATATAGGGGTTTGCTGTTGCGAAAGCTCCAGACTGTATCTTGAATGTTTGTGCTTGTTTTTCTGTGCAGGATGAGAAGAAAAGAATTGAGGATCTGGGTGGATGCATCGCTTACATGGGTTGTTGGCGGGTAAATGGTACCTACGCCGTTTCCAGAGCAATAGGTGAACAATCTCGCAACCAAATCAAAAAACAAGATTCTTGAGTAGTTTCAAGTATGGCTGGGTGATATACTATTCACAAGATATTTGAATATTCAACAATGTTTTTTTATTTAATTAATAAGATGGACATTTTAATAGCGTCTCTGATTTAAATTTCAGTAGCAAAAGTGCAGTCCGTTTGATTCATGTTCATGAATCAGTTCAGAAACTCTGATTCATTTGCATTATTGCTCAAAAATGTTCACAGAAGTTTATTTACTTGCGTGTGTTAAGAAAATATATGTAGGTATGTATTGCTGATTATCATGATGCTATATTGGTGCATATAACAAAACTTATTTGTTCATATAGTGATAAATATGTCCTGATTTATTTTTATTTCTTTATTTTTTCACATATATGCAACATTTTGGATCTATTTTTTAAAGTTATGTTGGATATATATTTATATATATATAGTGGGTACAGAAAAGAATCACCCCCCTTGAAATAATTACTTTTTGTTGCTTTGCAGTCGGAAATGAAGACGGACACAGTTTTTGTTTTATCCAGCTGAATTTACTCAGTGAAACTTATAACATCCAAGTGAAAGATATAACACCAACATGTCAGGAAAAAATAAAATCACTGAGTTGGAAAAAGGATCACCAGTATTTTGTTGAACCAACTTTTTTGCTGTAATTACAGCCTTTAGTCTGTTGGGATATGTCTCTACTAACTAACATCTAGACTTTGCAATAATAATAAATGCTGTGTGCTTTGGGTCATTGTCATGTTGGAAGTTAAACCTTCTTCCCTCAAAAGAAAACCCACCACTTCAGGTCGACTTTGCACCGCAGACTTATTTAAATATTGCACAGGAAAGACAGATCCGATCGGTTATCCAGATTGAGATGTCCGTTGATGAAGTGTAAATGCGCCGTGTCCTGATTGACTGATGATCCGATCTGCTTGATCGGATCA